TTTATAGGATTCTTCTATATGCAAAGAAATATGATGTGCCTTACCCGTTATTCTACTAAGCTTTCATTCAGCGTTCGGTAAAATGCTGGAACTGTAAAAGAATATTGTAGAGGGACCCTAACGACCCTAAATCTTAAAATCCGGGAACAAAATTAAAACCTAACTCCGAAACATGTCCTAAGCGGCACATCTCCAGTGAACTAGAGGTGTACTCTGCATAGTCCTAATATATGTTTCGGGGACCATAAATGCAAAGCGGAGCCACTTTCTGCCATCCAGCATTTAATTAGTTAATGTCGCTTGCAACCTTAATGTTAAAGGTTTTGGGAAAATAATGTAGAGGAAGGACAAGATGGTCACATGAATTGCTCCCTCCCTTCTAGAGCACCTGATCGTACCTTATTCTGCTTCAGCATCGCCCAAGAATCTAGCATCACCGCGTATTATACCAATACCGCAGCTAGTGGTTCTACGCATAACAGCTTTCATAATCACTTGAAGAAAGGTCACCGACACACCGCGTAGCACTGGAAGGAACTGATGAGAAATATCTAATGATACATTAAGTTTTCCTCAAGAAATGTGAATATTAATTTAGAAAGGAATTTTCTATTAAAAAAATACTTAGCTAGGGTTATAATATAAATTTTCGAGCAAGATAACCCCCGAGGTTTCTGTCATGCAAAGATGTCGGCACCTGAATGAGATTTCTTCCAACTGCTTGCCTAACTCACGCTCGGTACAAATGACCTCTTAGGTAATATACAGTTTCCCATTCATTTTTTCCATCATTATAAATGCAAATATAGTTCATGACCAACACGTGAAAAATATATTTTCTTGTAAGGAATTCGTAGAAAATTGTGTCACTCCCAAATTTTGTGCCTGAAGAACGGACAAACTTTGGCTGACAAATGCTTGTAATTATTAATTTCTATAAGTCTATGGAATTTCCAATCATACAACAGCTTACCTGTCCGTTTACCAGTGCTGCTTATGAGGCATAAAATATGACACACATTAATCAGTAAAAGAGACGAAAGGTCGAGCACCAGCATAATTTGCTTATTATTTTGGACTTCTAAGCTCCTACAACAGTAAATCGTCAGGGATAACAAGAGTATCAGCAGCAAAAAGGTGATAAGTTTAGGAGTGCAAGCCAATAAATTAGCCGTGGTGCATGCCCGGAGGCAATTTCTTAGGACTATGTACGTTGGCGCCGAATCGATACATCAATTGCTTGAGTTCTTATAAGTTGACCAGGCTTCAATCAATTCTAGGCTCATCATGTTTTCAGCGAGGCCGTTTATCATAACGGCTGCGACGTTGAGCTCATGAACAGTTTCGTAGGTGTGAGCACCAACTTTCGATGCTTCACTGTCCTGCCGCACCACCAACTTATGTTCATGTATGCGCGATCCGAGTACTTGTTCAGTTTGGCCTATGTAGTTGTAAGGACAGTTTAGGCATGGGACGCGATATACTACCCCATACTGCTCTCCGGTATTTAGTCCATCTTTGATTTTAATCACCCTGCTTCGTATGGTATCTTTGGGTCGATATGCAATTCCAACACGATGCGCTCAGTCATTTCTGAGGACTCCCTGATGTATGGCAGAGCGCATCATATTCTCGTTGGCGTTTCTGTTTGCGTTCGCGGAGGCCGAGCGCGTAGGCGTCGGCCTATTAAAGCCTTTGGATAGCCAGTCCGCAGAACCGCGTACCTCGCGTACCTCTGCCTTCGGCTTGCTGCCATTAGTCTGTATCGGTTATCTTGAAGTAACTTCAGCTTTGTGTAAATT